CTAAACCCCTAAACCCCTGAACTCTGCTTTGAAGCCCCCGGAGGAGGGCTGCGTCACTGGGGAGAAGCCGGAGGGCTGCCTCCTCTGAGGAGAGGTTCGATCGGTTTAGGGGCTTTAGGGGTTGTAGGGTTGTAGGGTTTAGGGGTTTAGGGTGTGGGGTCTTAGGGGTTTAGGGGTTTAGGGGTTTAGGGTTTAGGGGTTTAGGGGTTTAGGGGTTTAGGGTTTAGGGGTTTAGGGGTTAGGGTTTAGGGGTGTAGGGTCTTCGGGTTTAGGGGTTTAGGGGTTTAGGGGTTTGGGTTTTAGGGTTTAGGGTTCAGGGTTTAGGGTTCAGGGGTCTTAGGGTTTAGGGCTTATAGGGTTTAGAGTTTAGGGGTTTAGGGTTCAGAGTTTGGGGGTTTAGGGGTTTAGGGTTTAGGGTTTGGGGTTTAGACTCTGAACTTAGCGCCCTAGCTCTTCAGCCCTTGAACAATCCTCCCCGCTTGTGAGATAGACCCAAACTCGACAAGCCCTAAATCGCGAGCCCCGGAGCCTGCGATGCCCTTGAACCGAAACCTTAGCAACCCTAAGCCCTCGATCCCGAACCCACGGAACCCCTAAGGCCTGAAACCCTAAACCCTAAACCCTAAACCCTCAACCTCAGCCCTAGACTGTAAACAGCGAAACCAAAACGAAGCCCGAAGCCCTAACATGCCCAAGAGACCCTAAAGCCAACAATCTAAACCATACACTCCTGCACCCTCAACCCGACACCTTAGAAAACCCCTTTGAACCCTTGTACTTGGAGGTTCATGGGTGGTTATAAGCAGGGTTATAAGTCCCTAATATGGGTTATAATTACAGAGACCCTACTTATAACCCCGCTTGTAACTACCCATGAACCCTAAACCCTAAACCCATGAACCTCCAAGTACAACTTAACGGAATCAAGCCCGCGCAGGCCGGCCGGCTTGGGCTGAAAGATCTACTGGCTACGCTTTGCGTGAGAGCCCCGGGTTGGACCGGGGGGGTTTAGGGTTTATGGTTTTGGGTTTTGGGTTTAGGGCTTAGGGGTTTAGGGGTGTAGGGTTTAGGGTTTAGGGTTTAGAGTTTTGGGTTTAGGGGTAGGGTTAAACGCAGCAATCTGATTAGTCTGATCTGCCCTAAGCTTGGGTTTTAGCTTAGGGGTTAATGGGTCTAGGGCCGTAAACTACTTGAGGCTGCTTGGACGAGATGGCTTTAGGACTGCGAGTTTAGCTTCCACCTCAAGCAGGGCACTCGTGGGCGCTGGGCCTTTCGCGCGAGAGTGTTGTAATTACGGTAATTTCATGGTCAGTATTGCCGTGATGATAATCGTTCTTCGCATTGTACGCAGTATCAGTATGCGATCATGAGCTGACGATAGAGACGGCTACCCTAAACCCAAGACCCTAAACCCTAAGCCTTATGAACAAGCGTGGCAATGTCTGCGCTTTTCTGAAGACTGGAAAGATTCCCCAAACCCCGGACCAAAAGCTTTGCGGGGTTTAGGGTGTAGGGTTTTCTTTTCGAAAGCCGGAACAAAGCCCTTATCAATGGATCCTTACTACAGCCCTTATGCAGCCGTTCTAGAAACTGTCGCAAAACTTTACACAATCCTTATGCAACCTTTATCAACCCCTTATGCAGTATACGACCCTAATAAGATATGCTCCTGAATAATCAGCATAATATTCCTACAGGCCTGTAAGAATACGGTAAAATATACCCAGGAGCCTATTCTTACAATATTCGCGGCCCCAACGTCTAACGTTTAAATTCGCCTGTATGTCTAGCCTTATGGAGCCTTAAGCCCTATATGGGTAGTTCTCTAAATCAGGGTTCCTTTTGAGGTTCCCAAAATAGTTTTACACGTTGAAAAACGACGTTACAAGGGACCCTAAACTAGACAACTACCCGTGTAGAACTCTTATAGTACCCCTATAGAAAACCGACAGACGCCCTGACAGATCCCTCTAAGAAACCCTAAAAGGGACCAGAGCCCCTAAACCCTACATGGAACCGACTCTAGCGCTCCCTAAGCCCGAAACCCTGAACCCCA